AAAAAAAAAAGCCTGGGCCTGGTGGCTCACGCCTGTACTCCTAGCACTTTGGGAGGCTGAGGAAGGCAGATCATGAGGCCAAGAGATCGAGACTATCCTGGCCAACATGGTGAAACCCCGTCTCTACAAAAACACAAAACTTAGCTGGGAATGATGATGTGTGCCTGTAGTCCCAGCTGCTCGGGAGGCTGAGGCAGGAGAATTGCTTGAACCCGGGAGGCGGAGGTTCCAGTGAGCCAAGATCGTGCCACTGCACTCCAGCCTGGTGATACAGCGAGACTCTGTCTCTAAGGAAAAAAAGGCTGTAAAGTGCCTCTATTAAGTGAAAAGTTCTTGGGGAAGAAAAAAATATTAAAAAGATTGTATGCTGATGTTGCTAAGATTAGCTCAGTTAATCTTACTGTTCGTTAATTTAGAAGTTGAACTACAGTAGGTATGTAAGCACAGGAAAAAACACAGAGGATTTGGTGTACTATCTAAAGTTTCGGCTGGGCGTGGTGGCTCATGCCTGTAATCCAAGCACTTTGGAGGCCAAGGTGGGTGGATCACCTGAGGTCGGGAGTTCAAGACCAGCCTGACCAACACGGTGAAACCCCGTCTTTAAAAAAAAAAATTAAAATTAAAATTAAAAAAATTAAAGTTTCAGGCTCCACTGGGGGTCTCGGAATGTATCTTCCATGGTTAAGGGGGAACTGCTCTATTAAAATCTTTGAAGAATTGATGGCATTTCTTTAAGCAGCACCACAATCTAACCACCTAAATGTGTTCATGTTCTTCCCTCCCTCCTGTGCCTCTGTCCTTGCTCACCTATATTGGTGAGATGACCTCACTGGCATGTGATAGCTAATATGGTGCAAACTAAACAGGAGGGAATGAGAAAGACGCTTTCCGAGTCTACAAACATAAAGAAAGGGCGTATGACACACTAACCCCTGGTTCAAGAGGCCAGGGCCACCTGAGATTCCATCTTTGCATTTAGCTGACCTCAGAAATTCTATTCAACAATTACCCACTGAGCGAAGGCTGTGTCAAGTTCTGTGCTAGGAGCTGTCACTGTGATTTTAGATCAGAAGCCAAAGGCTGTTTGAGTTAGCTCTAAAACTGGAAGTTCTATTTTTACATTATTGGGAGAAAAGTCTTTACCATTGGACTTCTGGTTTTTCTGTGCAAGGGAGTGTTCTGTGAAAGGGTGGTGTACGCAGAGCAGCCCTCAGATGCCGAAGGAGCTGAGAAACCAAAGGACAAGGCAGACAAATCCAGTTTGTTGGTATATTGGAATATATTAGGGGAACTTACGAACTTTCTTGGACAGCCGGAAAACAAGATCTCTGCAGTGTTACTCTCCAGACGCGTGGCTGCTCTATCCCAGGGAAAAGGTGTATGTGTGCTCCAGCAAGACTACTGAAGGTTGCCCTCTGCAATCGGCAAGATTGCTATACGGCATAGCCTGTAATTTGTGTGATAACATCAAGGTTGACGTGTTCTTACACTCGGGACGGTAAATGAAGTAGGAGTCAGGAGGCATTCACAGGACTGGGGCTCATCAGAAGTCAACATGGCAGATTAGCATGCAGGAGGGAGTCACTTTTGCCTCCCCATGGAGTTTACCTCTACTCTCTTCCAGGTAAAAAGGGGGTGTACATGACAGATATCACACCTCAAGGTGTGGCTATGGAAGCTGGAGTTCTGGCCGATGATCACGTGATTGAAGTGAACGGAGAGAATGTAGAGGATGCCAGCCACGAGGAAGTGGTTGAAAAGGTACGCCCCAAAGGGTGCTTTTCTTACCCTGTCTTCCTCTCCATTCTCATTGGAGGTGACAGGAAGACGGGTGGTAGGGACAGCATGAGTTTGTGATGGAAAAAATATCCAGTTGAGTTCATGTTAAAGGTGAACAGACCACACTACTGGTATAAGCAGTGTTAATATAGAGGTTTGGAATAAAGCCTTCCCTAATTTCACATGAGGTCTACAAAACTATTACCTTTACCTTTTGGATCTTGTTTGTATCTGATTGGGAGCCCCCTCTGAACTGTTGGATTGAGACAGGGTCTCATTCTGTCACCCAGGCTGCAGTGTCGTGGGACAATCTTGGCTCATCGTAGTCTCAGCCTCCTGGGCTCAGATGATTTTTCCACCTCAGCTTCCTGAGTAGCTGGGACTACAGGTGTGCACCACCCCACCTGGCTAATTTTTATATTTTTTGTAGAGACAGGGTCTCACTATGTTGGCCAGACTGGTATTGAACAACTAGGCTCAAGTGATCTGCACGCCTTGGCCTTCCAAAGTACTGGGATTACGGGCATGTGCCACCACCCTCTGAATTTATGATAAATTCACTGTTGAGGGCCGGGCATGGTGGCTCACACCTGTAATCCCAGCACTCTGGGAGGCCGAGGCGGGCAGATCACCTGGGGTCGAGAGTTCGAGGCCTGCTTGACCAGCATGGAGAAACCCCAACTCCACTAAGAATACAAATAATTAGCCAGGCGTGGTGGCAAATGTCTGTAATTCCAGCTACTCGGGAGGCTGAGGCAGGAGAATCACTTGAACCTGGGATGCATAGGTTGCGGTGAGCCAAGATTGTGCCACTGCACTCCAGCCTGGGCAAAAAGAGTGAAACTCTGTCTCAATCAATCAGTCAATAAAATTACTGTTGAGCCGATTAATACTGAATTTTTTTTTTTTTGAGCCAGAGTTTCACTTTTGTTGCCCAGGCTGGAGTGCAGTGGCACGATCTCCACTCACACAACCTCCGCCTCCCAGGTTCAAGCGATTCTCCTGCCTCAGCCCCTCAAGTAGCTGGGATTACAGACATTCGCCACCATGTCTGGATAATTTTGTATTTTTAGTAGAGACGGAGTTTCTCCATGTTGGTCAGGCTGGTCTCGAACTCCCGACCTCAGGTGATCTGCCTGCCTTGACGTCCGACAGTGCTGGGATTACAGGCATGAGCCACTGTGCCCAGCAATACTGAAATGTTTTATAGGAAGTGGAGGATAACAGATTTTCCTTTGAGGTCATATGGAACCTTAAAAATTGACCAACTTCTCTTTGTAGAATGATTTTTTGAAGTGGACCTTTACTTTCTTTTTCTCCAAACTCCTATTGTTGCCTTTACCTACACAGCTTTATGGGTTTTCTGAATTCCAGCTCCTTCTTGGGCTTAGTACCTATGTGGGTAGGTCATAAGTAAGGGAAAAACAGCTATAGAAGTGGAGGTAGATACCTCTCAGTTAGCTGGTAGGATGGAGTATTACAGCTTAAACACAGGCCTTCTATCCCCCATCTTTTGTGGAACCTGGAGACCGTATGCCTTCATACAGAAACTTTTTTTTTTTTTAAGATGGGGTTTTACCATGATGGCCAGGCTGGTCTCGAACTCCTGACCTCAGGTGATCCACCCACCTTGGCCTCCCAAAGTGCTAGGATTACAGGTGTGAGCCACCGCACCCGGCCTTATACAGAAATTTTTCTCCCCTACATTGTTCTTGGGGGTTGATGTGGTTCCTCCTCTGTGTGTGTTGCTGCAGGTGAGGAAGTCAGGAAGCCGTGTCATGTTCCTGCTGGTGGACAAGGAAACTGACAAGCATCTCCGTGAGCGGAAGATACAATTCAAAAGAGAAACAGCCAGTTTGAAACTGTTACCCCACCAGCCCCGAATCGTGGAGATGAGGAAAGGAAGGGATGGCTACGGTTTCTACCTGAGGGCAGGTCCGGAACAGAAGGGTAAGGCATGAGAGCAGGAAGCTTCGCAGTGCAACCAGCAAATTCCTCATCCCAGTTTGACTCCCGAGTTCCGTTAGGCTCTCAGCTCCCAACCAGATGCATGAGGGGTACAGCAAGAAACTAGGAGGCACAGCTGGGTCAGATTCTATGTCACATGAGGGTCTGATATTGGGCATCCTAAAGTTTCCATAGCTGAATGATGAGGCAGAATTTGTATCCTGGTAAGATGGCTCTGGTGGGGGGCGGGGGGGAGGAGTCCAAATTGGTAGCGATTGTTTTTTGTGATGTAAATACTCCCCCATGTGCAATTTCAACTTAACTGCTACATGTCACTGGACACAAAGAAGTATTGCATAGAATTGGCTTTTGTGAGCCGGTGTGAGCCAAGCTATATAGCACGCTGCTGGACCTGAGGCCGAGGTGTGGGTGAGGATCTGGGACTCAGAACCAGGAGTCCTCCTTCCTTGCAACTCAATAGGAAGAGCACTAGGTTCTTTCGGGGAAGGTAAATACATAAACGAACATGAGTTCAGGCCGTATAAACTGTTAGTCACTCATGAGTTGCTATTTTCACTCTGTTTACATTAATTCACCAAATATTAATTTGGTTGATTTTGTAAAAACATCCTCAGTGCCTTGGAGAAAGAATATCACATGAATCAGGCAGGGATTCTTTAGTCAAGGAGCCTACTACTTAGTACATAAGAGACTTAGGTGCATAATGAAGGGAGATAGAGGTAAATACCTTCAGGTGGGGGCAGGTCAAGCACTGTGATAATTCAAGGTTAGAGTAAGCTTTTCTCACTAAAAAGGTACCTACCAGAAGCCCTCATGGTAGGGGCGGCAGTTGAGTTCAGCCTTTGTAACATGAATAGATTTGGGAAAGTAGAGCCGGGTCAAGGAAGATGAAGGTAGGAGTCATGTGAACACAGCCAGGAGACGGGCACAGTTTGATTGGCATATGATGTGTAGTGTAAGAATTCATTGGAAGGGCAGGTTGGAGAGAGGTGATAAGGGGACCCGGATGCAAGATTGACCAGTTTGGACTTGGCTCATTAGACGATGGGGAGTTATTTTTTGAGCAATATAAGGGAGAAGAAAAAAAAAATCCTACAATATCTTGGGGGCTTAGCATATCTCAATTACTCCTGACAATTATGCAAGAATTGCTGAAATGGAGGACTTGGAGAAGATACAGTAATTATGTAAGGTGAAACAGTTTAGTTCCAAAATCCATGCTCATTCTCTTGCACCAGGGAGTGACTTGGTCAGGAATGTGTATTAAGACGGATCTGAAGGCAGATCTGTATCTAAGAGAAGGACTGGGGAAGGGTGAGCAGTAGGAAAGGTGCTGTCATAGTTTAGGTAGAATTCTAGGCAGGAATTAATACAAACTGCATTCAGGGTAGAGGAAGTGGGATGTGTAAGACACGACAGTAGCATCAGAGGACTTAGCCATCATCTAGATACGGGGACTGGATGCTGGGGAAGAATCAGTTGCTAAGTGTTGGTGATTAGGAAGATGTCACTCCACTAACAGGTAACCAAGAGGAGGGGCCTTGGGATGGAGAATGGGCAGAGCTGATTTTTGGTTTGAACACATTACAGTTGAGAGAGATGTGAGATATTTTGTTGGAGATACCCAGCAGCTAGCTGGGAAAGTGAAACAGGAGCTTGTTAAAAAAAAAATAGAGCTCTGGCGGCATCCGGTAAAGATAGTTGAAGTCAGAAGGCCAAAGGCACATCCTTGAGTAGTGTACGTACAAATACGTTCACAACCGAACACATCCAATTGCTACTAAAATGCCAGCATGCGTTTCTTAAGGTCCAGGGTTTTGAGTTTTGTTCTTTATTTTTCCCTGCTTTTTATGACAGCTTTTACATAAGACATGTGGCTACAAGTATGCCCACTGACTTCCTGGGAACCTGCAGACCTTTAGTACGCTATTTTGCCAAAACTGAATGTCAGACGCTTTTAGTAACATGATTATTTCCATTAAGACTCCTTCATTGTTAATGGCTGGCTTACTTCCTGGAGCGAGTTCTGAGCAGGAAACAAACCCAGATAATGTGCTGATAAGCTTTCTGGGATGCGGCAGAAGGGATGGTAGTTGCACTCAGCATGCCTTTTATACCTATTTCATCAGGACTTTGGGCTCCAGCAGAAAATCTGTTTATTTTTCTAGGGGACTTACTGATAATTTTACTTTTGGGGGTGGGGGGAGGGTAGGTCAAATCATCAAGGACATAGACCCCGGAAGTCCAGCAGAAGAGGCCGGCTTGAAGAACAATGACCTGGTAGTTGCTGTCAACGGCGAGTCTGTGGAAACCCTGGATCATGACAGTGTGGTGGAAATGATTAGAAAGGGTGGAGATCAGACTTCACTGCTGGTGGTAGACAAAGAGACGGACAACATGTACAGACTGGTAAGTAATAGGAATAACAGCCATATATTCCTGCAGTAAGGCCAGGCCCATTCACTCCTGCCCTCCAACTTTGCACTGTTAGGACTTTGCTCCTTAAACTGGAAGAGGCGTAACAATCGTCATTAAGGCTGAACTGAAGCTCCAATTGGTCGTGACAAGAGAATGCCAAATGACTGATGAAATGAGTTTTAAGTGCATGGTTCTTAAGATTTTGAATTTGTGAATTTAACTGCAGACTTATTCTTGGTGATCTGAGGAAATCTATGGAGAAGGTTAAGTCTGGAAATAAAATTGTTCCCAAAATAGGGAACAATTAGATTTTAAGCTTTAGGTCGGTTAAGTTCTATCAATGGCATGTAACAGCCTAGAAAGGATTATTAAACAGCCTGTAAACTCGGCAAATAAGAGAAACAGACCAAGACCAAGCTGAATGAAACTAACTTTATTTTCTCTTAACAGCTCTTTATCATAACACCTACTACTGCATGTTTCAAGTTTTTTTTTTTTTAAACAATTTTAACACAAGAATTGAGGTTCAGTCTAGTTTAACAGATCTGGGGGCTTCTAAGTACCATCTGTCTTGCTAAGTGTTCATCGTAAAGAGGAACAAGATAAATTTTCTCTGTAAAATACAATAATAGCGGATTCCAAAATAAATGATACAGATGAAGGAATATGATGGGTGGTGGTATATTAGGCCCTCCTCATAGATTAGGAAACTGAAGCTTAGAGAGATTAAGTACTTGGCTAAAGTCACGCAGCTTAGTAAAAACTGAAGCTAGTATTTGAACCCAAATTCTTGGACCCATAATTCATTATACCATACTCCTCCTCCTCAGCACATTTTCATGAGATATTTCAAGGTACTCTTGTAAGCAGGATTAAACAATGAATTTGTTTTTATTTATTTATTTATTTTTAACTTTTTTTTTTTTTTTGGAGACGGAGTTTCGCTCTTGTTACCCAGGCTGGAGTGCAATGGCACGATCTCGGCTCACCGCAACCTCCGCCTCCTGGGTTCAGGCAATTCTCCTGCCTCAGCCTCCTGAGTAGCTGGGATTACAGGCACGCGCCACCATGCCCAGCTAATTTTTTGTAGTTTTAGTAGAGACGGGTTTCACCATGTTGACCAGGATGGTCTTGATCTCTTGACCTCGTGATCCACCCGCCTCGGCCTCCCAAAGTGTTGGGATTACAGGCTTGAGCCACCGCGCCCGGCCAACAATGAATTTGTTTAATGGCTTTTTTAGTTACTTCAACTGTCATACCCAGAAAAGACTTGACATCAACCTGAATAGAAGTCTTTAATGGCATGATACTTGTTCCTAGCCAGCTAATTTTTTTTTTTTTTTTTAAGATGGGGTTTCACCATGTTGGTCAGGCTGGTCTTGAACTCTCGCCCTCAGATGATCTGCCCGCCTTGGCCTCCAACGTGCTTGGATTACAGGAGTGAGCCACCACTCCCGGCCTCCTAACCAGCTAATTAAAGTTGAAAGGAGATATGGAAAATATATTAACATACTTGGCTGGGCACGGTGGCTCACGCCTGTAATCCATGCACGTTGGAGACCAAGGCGGGAGGATCACCTGAGGTTGGGAGTTCAAGACCAGCCTGACCAACATGGTGAAACTCCCGTCTTAAAAAAAAAAAAAACAAAAACTTAAAGTGGTACTAGATAATTCATTTGCTGGAGGGTGTAATTAACATTCAAAATATTTAGGATAGAATAAAAACTAAAGAAATAATAAATTTCTAGTACTATACTTGAAAAGTACACTAAAAGTAATACACTAAAAGTAAAGTGTATGAATACCAAATGGTGAGACCTGATTTGAGGACTATAGAAAAAGCCCAGAAACTTGATACTCTAAGTAGCTGCCCCATCCAAAAATGGCGATTTTAAAACTGACTGACACTTGGCTTCGGGAGATGACCATCTTACGGTACTTACTTGGCCAGACCACACCTGGAATTCCTGGTAATGTAGTTTACTCTCTGTGTGCTTTAATTTCCTTAGTTGTACAGTGGGGTGGAGGGTAGATCTTTGCAGCTACAGTGAAGGGTGGCTATGACGGTTAACTTGGAATATTTAGAGCTGTAGAATAATGCCTCACCTGTCTAAATGTTCTATTCATTAATACTGTGCCTGGTTTTGAGAACCGGCTTTAGGAAGGCCAATGAAAAGGGTAACTAGGGAAGAGGTTTTGGAAGCCACCATGTGAGCATTTAGCTTGAGAAGGGCTTTGGAGAAGAGAGCATCTTCAAGAATCCGAAAGACTATTACATGTAAGGAGGAGCACACATTTTTTAAAGGTGTCCTGTGGGGCACAGCAGGACGAGAGAAGCCACAGGGAGCTAGCTTTTGGTTTAAGAACCAACTGCAGCTGCCGCGAATGATGAGTCATTTCGCATTTGGCAGAAAAAGTCAAGCAGGAATTGGAGGCGGCTGCTGAAGTTGTTTGTTGTAAAGGGGATTCTGACCCCCTCCTCCTGATCTCATAGAATGATTTAACTGTAATTTTCCTGTTTTAGTTAATAGAGAACTTTGATCTAAAAAGAGGCCTGCCCTCATCTCTCTCCTTCCCCATTCTCCAAAGTAAGCCCTGTAGGTTGGGGTGGAGGGTGGATCTTTGAAATACATCAGTGAATAAAACAAACCCCTCTAGCAGTCCCTGGCGCACACTAGACACCCAAATATCTGAATGAAGGATGAATAAAATCTCGGCCAGGCACAGTGGCTCATGCCTGTAATCCCAGCACTTTGGGAGGCCGAGACCTGGCCAACATGGTGAACCCCCGTCTCTACTAAAAAAATACAAAAATTAGCTGGGTGTGGTGGCACA